AAAAAAAAAAAAAAAAAAAAAATCAGCCTGGTCTACAAGAGCTAGTTCCAGGACAGCTAGGACTGTTACACAGAGAAACCCCGTCTTGAAAACAAAACAACAAAACAAAACCAAAAAAAAGGCAAGACATCTTTGCATCATTAAACAAATATTTCACAGCATAAACAAATGTACGTCTTGAACTATTATTTCACAATACATAATAGATCCAGAGGAGGATGCCATTGGCTATATATTATGCAGAACTCTGAAGGCCTTACTCACTAAAGATGAGCTGGGGAAGAACCGAAGGAGCAAAGAGAAAAGGCTTATATGCAAATAAACCTCTAAAATGGCCCACAGCGAAGACTCCCAGCATTCTGAAAGTCTTAAGACTTGAGGATTTAGCAGGCAGATAGATCCGGAAATAGCTCACCTAATAAATGACCACACAATGACTAAAATTCTTTTATTTTTTTTTTTTATTTATCATTTTGGAAAAAGAAAACTAGGGGAAAATCAGACAAGTCAGCAATCCTTGATGTCAGAGGAGTAAAATCCCCAGCGAGGAGGGAAGTTCCTCAGCTTCCTCTTATCAACATGAACGAAAGGATCTCTGCCCTCATGAACAGGTCCTCTCTTGAGAACTGACCAAATTGGGGAGAGCGACCAATTCAAGTGTGAAGGCTGCAGGCCCAAACGCAGCCCTTGCTTCCTACAGTGCCCCTTCATGTCAGAGAGTCTGGAGCGGGGCTCCAAGGGCAAAGCAGCAACAGACGTCTACAAACACTGTGTGGTGACAGTGGCACAGAGGATTTAGAATCACAGCTCTGCATGATGGACGTCTGCCTTCAACAATTCACTGGGCTTCATGAAGATGCCTTCCATGGCCTTCCAGTAGTTGTTCTGACTTGGCTGGGCCATACCATGTACCTCCTTTTGTCCACTTATAGGTCGGCCATATTGTTCTCCCGTGACAGACAGGAGAACTTCGGTGGAAGAATGTTTGAATCTCACTTCACCGTCTCTCACCCAGTAAGGTCCATTACAGAGCACTGTCCAGTCATCCAGATAGTCACCTTCACCTTCCTCGCCAAAGGCACTCACTTCCTGAAAGACAGAAAGTGGAAACATTAACACATCTGACAGTCAGCTCTGGAGAGCAGACACCTGAGTTCAGATGATAGAGCACACCCACAGCCCTAACATTGAGGAAGTGGAGATAGCAAGGTCAGGAGTTCAAGATGATCCAGCTACATAAGCAATTTAAGGCTAGCCTAGGTTATAAGAGACTCTACCCTGTTGCCAAGTAAAGAAGCTGCTATCTAAGGCTTTTACCATGAGGAAAATGTTAGATTTCAAAGGTGGGGCATGACTCAATAAGAAAAAAAAATAAAATTAAAAAAATAAAAATAAGCCAGGCAGTAGCAATACATGCTTTTAATTCCAGCATGCGGGAGGCTGAGGCAGGTAGATCTCTGTGAGTTTGAAGCCAACCTGGTCTACAAGAGCTAGTTCTAGCATAGGCTCCAAAGCCACAGAGAAACCCTGTCTCCAAAAACCAAAATAATAATAATAAAAAATTACAATAAAAAAACTGAAAACAGCTGGGCGGTGGTGGCGCACGCCTTTAATCCCAGCACTCGGGAGGCAGAGGCAGGCGGGTCTCTGTGAGTTCAAGACCAGCCTGGTCTACAAGAGCTAGTTCCAGGACAGGCTCCAAAACCACAGAGAAACCCTGTCTCGAAAAACAAAAACAAAAACAAAAAAAAAAGAACCAAGAGATCAAACAAGTCAACTGGGCAAGACAGAGCACATGTGATGGCTATTCTTGGTTGTCAATTTGAATATAAGTGGAATGAACTATAATCCAGAAATGGATGGCACACCTGTGATCCAGATCTTGAGGCAAGAAGACAACAAGCCTTTAATCCAGACCTTGAGGCTGGAAGGCACACCTTTAATCTGGACTACCTCTTCTGCAGGAAACACATTTAAGGGCAATGCAAAAAGAAGGGTTTGTTCATTATCTGCTTGCCCTCGCTCTGTCAAGACATCCATTCCTTCTTTGGGATCCCAGAAGACCAGCTGAGACAGCCAACCTCATGGGACTGAGCAGCCACTAGATTCTTGGACTTCCCATCCATAACTAGCTATTGTTGGACTGCAGCGGTAAGTCACTCCAATAAATTCCCATAGACAGACCAACCGACAGACAGATATTCATTCCATAAGTTCTGTGACTCTAGAGAACCCTAACATATACAGCAGGAATAATCCATTGCATGCCCCTCACCTGGTTTCCAGAAAGAGGTGACGTGAAATGGTGGCTGTGGAGGTTTCGACCAGTGTTGATGTGTGTCAGTCGGATGGGCTGGCCACATTTGATGGGGGTTCCCCTTTCACACACTGTGGCTGTCTTCCCCCGTATTCTCCAATAACTATTGCTGTCATCCACAGAGGTTACACCTGTCACTGATTGCTGCCCACTACCTGCAAGCAAACGAACAAAAGGCAGAGAAGAAAGGCAGTTGGAGAGATGCCTGATACCTGGTTCTGAAGAGCCATTTTCAACTCAGTGGGAGACAGCAAGGACCCATCCACTGTTAGGTAAAGCTTCTACCAAGGTTGCATTCATTTTTTCAAAGAAAAAATTTTTATTTTTATTTTATGTTTATTGGCGTTTTGCCTGTGTGTATGTCTGTATGAGGCTGTCGGGTCCCCTGGAACTGGAGTCACAGACAGTTGTAGCTGCCATGTGGGTGCTGGGAATTGAACCCCGGTCCCCTGGAAGAACAGTCAGTGCTCTTAACCACTGAGCCATCTCTCAAGCCCACCTGCATTGTTTTTAAGAAAACCTACATCATACCTTCAGTTATATCTTCCCTAGATACTAAGGATCTTGAAATTTCACTTTACTTTTTTTTTGGTTTTTCGAGACAGGGTTTCTCTGTGGTTTTGGAGCCTGTGCTGGGATTAAAGGCGTGTGCCACCACCGCCTGGCTGAAATTTCACTGGCTATTGTGGAACAGCAGCCAGGATGGTAGGGAAGATCATGCTGCACTGGTTGACTACAGAATGAGACCTGTCCTGTGAGAAAGCAGTTTGTCAAATCTTCACTGCATCTGTACGGCCTTGGACAAGCATATGAATTTGATCCTCTGAGACTGTGATGAGTTCAGCAAAATCAAGAGACAGGATGCTAAATAGCCAGAGTATAAAGAAAAACAGGTTCTAGGTCTGCTGTTGTGTGCGGAAAGCTTGGTATCCACCATTATGAAAAGGCTACTCTCTAAAGATACTGACACGGCTTGGAACCCACTTGTCTTCCTGTTGGAGGTCTTGGGGTTGGGAGGACAGTTATTCATTTTACTTTTGTGAATTTTGCCTGCCTGTAAGTCTGTCTGTGCATGCTTATGCCCACAGAGGTCAGAAGAGGGAGCCAGATAGCCTGGGACTAGAGTTAAGTTAAACATGTGGATGCAAGGAATTGAACCTGGATTCTTTGTAAGAACAAGTACTCTTAACCACTGAGCCATCTCTCCAGCACTGTTCTCTACATTTTAATCGTCTCTTTAATTTTTCACTTTTTTTTCAACTCGACTTCCTCTGGAGACCTTAATCTGTTCCTAAACACTTAGGGGTCCAGACAAAGTAATTCAAGAAACATTTACTGTAACTGTAATTTTTCAGATTGAGCTCATCCTGAGCAATTTGATAGCAAATTGATAGTGCTTCAACCACTATCTGGACAAGAATGTTGTATCTAGGCAGTAAAATGGCTCAGCTGGTAAAGACTGACAATCTGAATTCAATCACTAAGACTCACAAGATAGAAGGAGAAAACAATGCTTTTCTCTGCTTTCCACATTTGCACTGTGCCAAGCATGCATCCAAACACACACACACACACACACACACTGGAGAAATGTAATTTAAAAATAAAGCCTTTAATCTCAGCACTCAGGAGGCAGGGGCAGGTGCTGTGTGTTCGAGGACAGTCTGGTCTACATACTGAGTTCCTGGCAGCAGGGCAACCAGAGCTAGATAGACACTGTCTCAAAAATATTGTACCTAACCTGCATCAGATCCCTCCAAGGTTCAGACTGAGCATGGTGTCAAAATCTGACTACCCAAAAGGACCACCGGGAGAGATTTGAAGTCTACTAGGCCTCTTTCTAACTCCATTATAATTTAGTAGATCCAAAACAGGAAACAGATTAAATTAAAATGCAATACACCTGGCTTATAGGTAGGTGTTTCCTGAATCAAGTGGCTAAAAATATAAAGATATCCCAATGATGACTATGCATTCCTGGCACTAAACTGGTCAGACAGGTTCTTAGAGGTGGGAACCACAGACTAACCCAAAAGGGTGAGTTCCTCTCTTAGCAAACACCATCCACCATCATCAGTCATTCAAATTACCTTGAATACATCTCACGTTAAATCTCATGACTTTTTTTGTTGTTGTTGTTTTTTGATTTTGGAGACAGGGTTTCTCTGTAGCTTTTGGAGCCTGTCCTGGAATTAGCTCTTGTAGACAAGTCTGGTCTCGAACTCACAGAGATCTGCCTGCCTCTGCCTCCCGGTTGCTGGGATTAAAAGCATGCGCCACCACCGCCCAGCCGAATCTCATGACTTTTATCCTCCTCCCCCACCAAGAACTTAAGAGTCTTTAGAATGCTTGGCAAATAATCTAACATTAAGCTATTTAGCCAGCTTTTGAACTTTTTTTTAATTTTATTATTTATTTATTTATTTATTTTTGGTTTTTTCGAGACAGGGTTTCTCTGTGGCTTTGGAGCCTGTCCTGGAACTAACTCTGTAGACCAGGCTGGTCTCGAACTCACAGAGATCCGCCTGAGTGCTGGGATTAAAGGCATGCACCACCACCGCACGGCTCCAGTCCCTGTTTCAGAACTTCTTTTGTGTTGTTTTGTAATCCAGGCTCTATGTAATCCAGGCTGATCTTTAAGTCACAAAGCTTCCACTTGAGCCTTCTGAGTGCTAGGATAACAGATATCGGCCACCACGCCTGCCATTAGAACAATACTAGACACAAAAGAAAGATAGAAAGAAAGAAAGAAAGAGAGAAAGAAAGAAAGAAACAGAGAGGAGAGGGAGAGAGAATAAAAAGGCTCTTTAGGGGCTGGAGAGATGGCTCAGAAGTAAAGAGCACTGACTGCTCTTCCAGAAGCCTTGAGTTCAACTCCCAGCAACCACAGGGTGACTCACAACCATCTATATGAGGTCTGGTGCCCTTTTCTGGCCTGCAGGCATACATGCAGGAAAAAGCACTGTATACGTAATAAATAAATAAGTCTTTTTTTTTTTTTTCCCCGAGACAGGGTTTCTCTNGAACTAGCTCTGTAGACCAGGCTGATCTCGAACTCACAGAGATCCGCCTGCCTCTGCCTCCTGAGTGCTGGGATTAAAGGCGTGCGCCACCACCACCTTGGTTCTTAACTCCTTTCTATGCTGAATGAATGAATCCACGAATACTTAGCATGAATTGCATATGATAAAAAGCAGACTTTCCTTTGCAATCCCTGTTAAAGCTTAAGTTATTGAGCTAAAAAACAAGTATAAGACCAAGGGTTGTAATCAAAGAGCAAGCTCTTTCAAGTCTAAAACTCAGAGATTCAAGATATGTTGTCAGGCTCTATATGTCTCTCTTCTCCCAGCACAAAATAGTGGCAGTCCATGGACCCTGAAAGATTTTAAACCTGGGCAGATTGGATTAAACCCTGTACCCACCATTCATTAGTTGTAAGGCTTTGAGCAGTACCTCTGAGTCTATTTTTTCACCTACGAAAGTACCTTTACTGTCTTTCTCAACACATTATTAGAAATTGACAAGTATACATGTGACACATTTAACGCATAACTCATCAAACAAAAACTAACATTACGACTAAAATCCCTTAGCAACTCGATCGTCCTCGCCAAGCAGCTTCCTAGGGCACCTTTAACTTTCCAAGACCACGACCTCAGCTCCTGAGGCCCCGCCTCTTCGGGGCTCCCCGGGCCTAGGCAGCCCACCCAACCCCGGTTGGTTCCCCTCAGTACCTGACCCATAGCGCACGTCGTGAGAGTGCAGTCGGACATTATGGCGCGTATTGAGTAGCTTCACCACGGAGCCGCAAGTAACGACAGCCATATCGGACGCTCCCACAGCGCTCCATAAACCACCCAACAACAGAAGCGACAAGACAGCCATCCTAGATCCGAGAGCCCCTAACCATCCAAGAAAATTTTAGCCCTTCCCCGGAACCGGAAGTTAAGGGCGGGACAACGACAAGGAGGAAGTGACGCCACTCTAACCTGAATCTTTATGGTTCCTCTGGCTCGAGCGGCTGGGTGACCTGGGAATCCGCTGTGTTCTGGTTGCTCTGTGGCGGCTGCGTTCGTTCGGTTAGCGTTCGCACGCTCGAGACGAGAGCGCTAGCCACCGGACGGGATAAGAAAGCACGAAATGGCCCGCCCACCCCCAGTGACAGAGAGCCGGAGGTGACGTAGCACGTTTACGTAGCAGCGGCGACGGCGGCGGTGGTGGTGGTAGTGGTGGCGGCTGCAGAAGCTGAGGGCCCCTGCGGTGGGTCCGTACTATCCTTCGCCAGTCTCGATTCGGCGACCCCATTTTCTTCTTTGGGAGCTTAAAGCAGCGGAGAAACAGCGGCCCTTAAGCAGGTAAAGCTCAGCCGGAGAGCGTTTCTGGTGTGCGCAGCGAGCCGGGCTCCCAGGGCCCGGTAAGGGAAGAGGCATTGGGGTGCCCTGGCCTTTCCTGATCTACCGGGGCAAAGGGACAGGAAAGCGCCGTGGTTGCTCAGCGTCTCCAGGCCTTTCCCCCACGTAGTACCACCTGGAACCTGTGAATTGGCGTTGCTTGTTGAGTCAACAGACTTTCTGGGATCCCATCTTCCCCGCAGCTTCTGGAATCTGGGCCACACGAAAAATTGGGACTAGGAGAGACCTAAGGGTTTCTTACTTGGCATCAGGTGATCAGATTAGTTATTCCGTGCCTTTGGATCCTACCGGACTTAAGATGGCATGAGGCTGGTGTACTGTGCTGAATGTTAGCTCTTCTCATATTGTTGAATAACTGAACTTTTCCCCCTTGGATGGCTGAGTCCCTTAACACTTTCGAAAGGTGCGAGTTTGTATATAATTGCCTGAAACCCTCCATCCTGCGTAATTCATTTCCTCGAATGCATGCAACATACTGTAAATATCAGAATGGGTTTTTGAATCCGAAATCTGAATTCTTTGTTTGTTTGTTTTGGTTTTTCGAGACAGGGTTTCTCTGTGGTTTTGGAGCCTGTCCTCCTCAGGCTGGTCTCGAACTCACAGAGATCCGCCTGCCTCAGTCTCCCGAGTGCTGGGATTAAAGGCGTGCGCCACCACCGCCCGGCTCGAAATCTGTATTCTTGATTGACATCAGGTACTCAATTTAAGTATCTAAGAAAAGCTGTTTCCCTGTGTTACGGAAAGAATTGATGCTTATTTTCTTTTAGAAGGCAGATCTCCTATAATACCTATACGGAAAGTCACTGTAGTATCAAAAGTAGTGGGGTACTTTTTTCCATTTTCCTCTACACACTCCATTTCTGATGATCCCCTTCTTCACAATCCCCCGTTACTTTCATTTATTTTTCTGTGTATGTGTGTGGTTCAATAGTTAATCTAAGGTTACTTACAGGAATGTGAGGGATTATTCAGAGAAACCTCGGCTACAACACTAAAGAAAATGTGCTTCTCCCCCAGCAACCATGAATTGCTCTAGATCCTTAGGATTGGTGGGATCACGTGAGCCCCCCACCCCCAGCTACCGTTAACTGCCTACAAATTTTCAGGCCCCTCCCCAGCAAGGGAGTATTATGCTACACTGTGCAGAAGGTGCTGAGTTAAATCAATTTTTCGGGGGAAAAAGTTTATTCCACCGTTGAACACTGAAGTTGACAGTTTGTAAGTCTTCGGTCTTTTAATTGCCTCCTGAGTGCTGGGATTAAAGGGCGTGTCACCGCCACCCATCTAATTTTTTTTAATTCTTGTAGTTTTATAGTTTTCTGCTTATACTAGTTTAACTTTCTTACCTTTCTTTGACGCTTTAGTCAATAGCAACCCGACTGACTTCTCTTCTAACTGCTCATCAAAATTGATAGCTTCAACAGTGGCTACAATGTTGCCAAATCCAATGGATACTCTTAGTCAATACAGTTACTCCTTGAAGCTTTGTCCCCTTAGTTGTTGTATTATACTTGGCTCTTGAATCTCTTAAACTAGCTACTCCTTTTTAGTCTTTTTTTTTTTTTTTTTTTTTTTTTTTTTTTTTTTTTTTTTTTTTTTTTTTTTTTTTTGAGACAGGGTTTCTCTGTGGTTTTGGAGCCTGTCCTGGAACTAGCTCTTGTAGACCAGGCTGGTCTCGAACTCACAGAGATCGCCTGCCTCTGCCTCCTGAGTGCTGGGATTAAAGGCGTGCGCCACCACCGAGTGGCCTCCTTTTTAGTCTTTAAAATACCGCTTTAATCCTAGCACTCTGGAGGCAGAGGCAGGCAGATCTCTGTATGAGTTCGAGGCCAGCATGGTCTACAAGAACTAGTTTTAGGACAGGCTCCAAAGCTACAGAGAAACCCTGTCTCGAAAAACAAACAAACAAACAAAAAACCAAAAAGAAAAGAAATAACTTCATTGTATTTTTATGTGGTTATTTTGTGTGCATGGTTGTGAAGTAGGTGCTTTCTTGGTTGAGTCATCTCCTTCCCTGGCCTTTTTGGGGGAGGATTTATTTTTATCAATGTTTTCCCAGCTTGGACTGCCTTCTCCTTAGGCATACTGGTGGTTCCTCACTCCCCACAGGTTAAAGGTAAAAGTGTAATCATAGTGATACTGATGCTAATCCGCATAGCATATTCCTGCCCAGAACTCCTGGAGCCAAGCAGTCGTCTTTCCTTAACTCTCAAGAAGCTGTTCCAGACTGTAAGGCTGTAGGCATCCACCACTGGACTTGATGTGATTTTGCAGGGTTTTTGGGTTGTTTGTTTGCTTTTTGCTTTGTGGGTTTTGTTTTGAGTCAGAGTCTTGCTGTGTAGTCTAAATGGCTCAAACTCTTTGAGCCTCTTGTTTCACCTTACTAGATGCTTCATTCTTCCTTACTTTTCTGCTCTCCCTAATATCTAAATGTTTGTTGGGTTTCTCTCAGGGCTTAATTTTGACTCCTCTACGTGTTCAGATGCCCTCCCTGTGCTCTGTTTTCTAGGCCACCATCATCTTTTGCCTGGACTATGATAGTTCCCCAGTTTCCTGTTTCTGCTCAAATTCCCCAGTGTCTTTGAAGCCTTTAACTTACCCTATAAAGATCCTGTGTCTTCATGTGAAACCCTCTTCCTCTCCCTGGTCAAACTGACTTTCTCTGTTGCTGCCAGCATTCGTGCTCTACAGAAGCTTCTGCGCCAGAGTCTCCTCCAACCACCTCCCCACGCAGTCAGTTTCTACACTTTATTCCTCACTCTTTGGGTATTTATAAAGTTTATTTCTTTTTATTTTAAGGATTTTTCTATTTTATTTATTTATTTTTTTTAAGACAGGGTGTCTCTTTGTAATAGCCCTAGCTGTCCAGGAAATCACTCTGTACACCAGGTTGGCCTTGAACTCACAGAGATCTGCAGGCCTCTCCCAAGTTCTGGGATCATGCGCAGATACCACCACCCATCTATTCTAAGATCTTAAAGATTTATTTAACTTATTAGAGAGAATGAGAATGTGTTAATTCTTGTATCGGTGTGAGTAGATCTAGGATAGCTTTGTGGATTCAGTTCCTTTCTTCCACTAGTTTTTTAGTTTTTACTTCTTTACGTTAGTTTTGGAATCTAATTCAGGTTATGGGCTTGCATGGCGGGCACTTTTGCCTGCTGAACCATATAACCAGCCCCCAGCCTATATTTTATTTTTTTTTCAATATTTATTTATTTATTTATTATGTATACAATATTCTGTGTGTATGCCTGCAGGCCAGAAGAGGGCACCAGACCTCATTACAGATGGTTGTGAGCCACCATGTGGTTGCCGGGAATTGAACTCAGGACCTTTGGAAGAGTAGGAAATGCTCTTAACCTCTGAGTCATCTCTCCAGCCCTTAATTTCTTATAATTAGATTGTGTGTGTGTGGTTTTTTGAGACAGGGTGTCTCTGTAGCTTTGGAGCCTGTCCTGGAACTAGCTCTATCTAGTAGACCAGGCTGGCCTTGAACTCACAGAGATCCGGCTACCTCTGCCTTCTGGGTGCTGGGATTAAAGGCATTCACCACCACCACTCGGCCAGACCATGTTCTTATGTCCTCACTTGGAGTCCCATTTTATGAAGTACTCTGTGACTTCTGTCACCATATTGTTCTCAACACTAATTACAGGATTTTGTTTCATTTTTCTGGTTTCAGATATTTAACCAGAGCCTTGTGCATGGTAAGGAAAGGTTCTGTCCTTTGAGATATACCCACCCTCATTCATGTTTTGTCATAACATAATTTATGAAAATTATGAACTCTACCCAGGAAGAAGCATATTTTATTCTCTTTTACCTACCAAGACCCAGAACAGAACTTGACCCTAAACAAACAGAATCTAAATGTTCATTGGAGAACAAAAGGAGTTAACAAGCCAGATCTCTTCAGCCAGGTCTCCTCTTAATTGCCTCCTACAAGTTCTTGTTAGAAAGGAGGAACTGCCAAGGGCCTCTCCTGTGGCCATCTGATCCCAGCCCTGTTCCTCTTCCTGAGAATGCCATGGTAACCACTACCCTCTCCCTCTGAGTCACATCTTACTCGGCAGCTGGCTTTTGCCTGGAGAGCCCTCCCTCCACCACTCTACTCCTCTTCAAGGCCTATTCCAAGTGCAAATTTAACTATAGTCTTGAATGTGGGGAAAATTTGAGGAATGTGAGTACTAAATGCAAAAATCAAAACTACAGTCAGCTTATCTTATTAAATCATGTATTAATGATGTTGATATATATCTTTATTCTGGAGTAGCTGTTGCTTGGCATCTTCAGCCTGCAGTGCTGATGCAGTACTATTCAAAATCTAGCTGTAGAAAGTCATGACTGCTTCTGGCAAACCTCTTAACTGGAAGGCTTATTGCTGAGCTAGATTAGGAACATTAGAGTGTGTTTTATCGCTAACCTAGCTTGGGAGTTGGGAGGGAAAGGAGACAGTTGTCTTCCCAAGCTGATTGTAAGGGGACCAAGAATAAGCTGTTATCTCAGGTGGGTTGTCTATTTCT